CCCGCCCACTCAGAAGGCCGGGCAGCGTGTAATGACTCGCGACCTAACTTCCCGATTGGTCTGGAAGCTGGGCAATCAGGAAGCCGGACGGCGAGTCATTACACGCCCCCTGGCTTTCTGGTTGGCTTCATGCTCCCTCGTTGGCTTCCTGGCCAATCAGGAAGCTGGGCGCAGTGTAATGACGTGTTCCTGGCTTCCTGATTGGCCAGCTTCTCGGCCAATCTGGAGGCTGAGCAACGCGTCATTACACGGCGCCCGGCTTCCTGATTGGCCAGAAAGCCGGCTCCGTGCTTTCTCGTCACCTGGTGAGGAGGGAGCATGGATACGGCTTCCCTGCTAATCAGGAAGCCAGGTGGCGAGTCATTACACGCCGCCTGTCTTCCTTAATGGGATCGGTATTAGGTATCGGCGAGTACCGGGGAAAAAAATATCGGTACTCAATACGGAAAGACCGGTATCGGTGCATCCCTACTGTATGGTCAACTCGGCTCTTTAGCAGCGACAAGGTCAAGTACACTGTATGGCCTAAAAGTATGTGAACCTCTCCCCCAAAAGATTGCGTACAGGTGTTCCCAGGGAAGGTTCGGGTAAGGCTACACCATACAAAGACATTGTAGACAATTGTGTTCTTCCAACCTTGGTGAAGACCCTCCTCTGTTCCACTATGACTGTCCCCTGTGTACAAAGCCAGCTCCATAAAGACATGGTTTGGCCAGCTTGGTGTGGAAGAAGGACACTTGAGGGTCCTGCACAGAGCCCTGACCTCAACCCTACTGAACACCTTGGGGATGAATTGGAATGCGAACTGCGAGCCCGGCCTTCTCGTCCAACATCAGTACATAAGAGTAATTGCCATTTTGGCTGACTGAGCACCACAGACACACTCCAAAATCTGGTAGAAAACCTAAGTAGAGGTTATCATAGCTGCAAAGGTGGGGCAACTCCATAGTAATAGTATGTCCAACTGGTCTAATATTTCGGTGTATCTGATCGGATGGCTGATACTGTAGCCTGGTGTTGGTGCCTTCATTATGTACCTACCTAGGTTCAGCCATATTCGCTTATCATAATCTTCATGTGTTGTTTCAGGGATGACCTGCCAGGCCAAGAGCTCTTACTTGGAAAACGAAATCATCTGGGGTCACCGTTTCGAGCCCTGCATGACCCTGGAGAAAGGCGCCTTCCGTGTGGACTACAAACGCTTCCACAAGACCTTCGAGGTCCAGCTGCCGCACTGTAGCGCCAAGGAGATGGAGGAGATGCGGGATCTGGAGGGCTCGGAGTTCAGCTTCTACTGGGAGAATGAAGACTTCCTCACTGGGCGCCGTCACACCATGACGGACAGGGGGGATGAGGAGGAGGATGAAGAGGAGGAGGAAACACGTACACAAGGAGAAGGTTTTTCCGACCGCAGCAGGCGGCTGATTGGAAACATCGCAGAAGAACGCAGCTTGGACTTCAACGGCAGCGATTATAACCTCTGAGCATGATGGACAAATGTGGACTTAGTATGGTGGAGGATATAGCCAGGACACAAGCTGAAGGCCAACTCAAGCCAACTCTGATATTCCGGTTTTGTGTGGTTGGTGACCAGTTCAGCTGTAGGCGGACTTCTTCTAGGATTCCAAAAATTCTACTTCTGCCCAATAAAAGTTATAGAACGTTGTCACCTTCCCCTGAAGGGTTTTCCATAGAAGGAACCAATATTTTAGGTGTCCAAAGTGACCCCATCATTCTGGGCTTGTGGAAGGGATGGAGGTCTTAAGGGGAGGTCCCACCAATTGTATAAGGGATGGAGGTCTTCAGTAGGGTTCCACCAATTGTGGAAGGGATGAAGGTCATCAGGGGGTCCCACCAATTGTGGAAGGGATGAAGGTCATC